CTCTTTCCTTGATCCTGAGCCGTAAAAAGATTGAGTTTGCTTCTAAACTCGTAAAAGGAGCTGTGTAGCGGTTGAGCTCTGATGCAGGAAAAAGTCGAGAAAAGTTTATTCAAATTCCCAAGAGGCGCTTGGAGTAGAGTAGGTCGAGTTTGACCGAATCACTATGAAACTACGGTGTTATATTTTCTAACCCTTTCCTATTTAATTTCGGAAGTGCTATTAAGATTAATTGCATGTTCTAATTTTTTTTTTTTTATACTTGTTCAGTGTTGTTTCTTGAACTAGTTTATTGATTTAATTATCATATTCTATTTATTTAAAAAAATTTAATCATTAGAAAAATTTAATCACGTTTAATTGTTGAACCCTATTCACCTACTAGAGTTGCCATATAATCTAACATCTTACTCATGCTTAAATTTGTGACCATGTGTACCCTAAATATCAATTTCGTGAATATCCTAAATATTGTGATCGTGTGTACCCTAAATTTGTGAGGCACGACCTCGTATATGGTTACAATATTAAATGACTTATCAAGGTACATTATAAAATAAATCGATTTATACCTGATATCCATCTACGAAGGATTAGTCGGCAAACCCTACATAATCTACAATTCCATGCCAAGAATATATAGTTGAGATCCTAGAGGAAAAGGCCTCAAGAGTTAGTGGCTTCAAGTGTGGAGATACTTGATGGGTTTTGTTGCCCATATGAAGAAGCATTCAATGATATATAAAACTTCCAAATGAAGATCGGTTAGAGGATCACATAACTTTTTGAATATGTAAAAGTTGCCCTTGACTTGATCAGGGCTAGGAGGGCGTATCTGATCATTAGACTAAATCTCACTATCAAGCAGTGGGGAACCAAACTTCTACGTAGGGTGGTATAGTACAATAGGATAAGATGCCAAGTCTCTAGAGAACTTTATATTTAACCTTATACAATACTTTCTAGCCATACATATTGTGATGAAAGAAGAAAAATTCTTCCCAATTAACTTGGAGGAAATTGAGGAATTGAAGTATACTAGGAATATTTGAGACTATGTCAAGTAGTTTTCTAGGTTGATGTTGGATATTCATGATATGTTCGAGAAAGATTTTCTATTTTGTCGAGAGATTGAAGCCATGGGCGAAATTCAAATTATACGAACAATGATCAAAATCTTTTATTGGCATATGCCGCAACCTAGTGCTTTTTTGATTTAATTAAAGAGCAATTATAACATGTCAAGAAAGAGTGTCGTACCCAACATATCCCAAGAACACGATTAAGAGCATACTTACTGAACCTTTGTACTCATTCCTAATCTCTCATATCTTTTAAGTGATAAATAGGAGTTAGTCATGAATGAAAGAGATCTCGAGCATATGGTGCACACAGTCATACCCTATTTCAACTATTCAAATATTTTAAGTTGTTTTGTTTACCAATCCCAATATATTTCCGCTTTACCTTGGATTGGTAAATTAATTATTTATATTTTTTTAAAATGTGAAAATTTTACCATTATTTTTATTTTGTCTTTTCTATTTCCAAGTTTTAAGTTACTTGTGACTCGAGTAAAAAATCAAGTTGTGACACTAACAGTAGGTTTCGTATTCCTCTCAAATAGCTAGGGAACCTTGTTAATTATGTGGTAGAAGTTCACATCGCTTTGGCCTAAAACCTTTCTAGATATTCTTTTACTGTAGCATGCTTGGATATATCTCTACAAGATGTCGATTTTTTCTCTTTGCTACACCATTTTTTTGTGAAGTGTTGGCATATCTAAATTGATGCGTAGCTTGCACTTATGTAGATATTGATCGAACTCAACGACATATATTCTTTGATATTGTCTGAGTGTAGGCAACAAATCTTCATTCCTACTTCTCCTTCAATCGTCATCTTGAAAAAAAAAAAAAAAGAGTGTATTCACTCTAATGGTTTTTTTTCCCTCTAAACTTCAACTCTTTATATGGTAATTGATTGATGAGCTTTTCCAGAATGACATCTAACACAAACAATATTTGTTTTGACATTAGGTTGAGCTAGGCCATTGGGCATGGATTTATACATAACCAACTTCAACTTGTAATAGCCAACATGTCCCAACATTGCAATTTCATAGATGTGATATCTCATTGTTCTTAGTCTTGTCTACATAGGTACTCTCTAAATAGAATAAAAACGGCTCCACTCTTCGCCCTTCCATTGTTAGTTTTTCCAATATCTTAACATCTTCATAAACTTTCACATTAAACACAATCATAGTGTTGCCGAGAGCAATTGACAACTGTGAGTTGTTTGTTGTGCGTACCACACGACTTTCTTTGTACTCTTTCTTGTCTCACAGTTTTCTCTATTTACTAGTCACGTAGTTTGAGCACCCTAAATCAATGATCAAGTCATTCTCATAATCGGTATGCTCTCCGTCACCTTTTAAGGCACACAGTATCTCAGTATCTCATTCATTCTCCATCTTTTTTTTAGAGGTTGCCCCATTACTTTTGAAGGATTTTTTTTCTTGACCAATCTTTGGACATGTGACCTTTCTTTCCACAATTGTAGCAAATGTTTTCATATCTCTTCCCTTTGGAACTTTTTTCGTCACTCTTTTAAGCTTTCCAAGTTGTGCAATTCCTCGGTGACTTCTTCCTTTGTTAGCATTTTGTATCCACCTTTGATGGGCGGCTTATTGGTGCTCTGACTTTTACTTGTATAGAGTGCTTCTTCTTCCTTCTTTATCATAACGTCTCTCATTTGCTTAACCATGATTTTTTGGTTGCCTGGCAAATTTTCAAACTCTACAAGTGATTGTTGACCAAGTCGTCCTCATAAAGCAATAATGAAACTTTTATATTCTCGTTGTTACTTTTAAGTTTCTTGATTTCTCTGATGACTTGGAGATCACTCATTGTGTTGACAATACCTCAGTAATACCAAATAAGATCGTTTTTACACATAACTTGCAAATACATGAATGACTCACGACACGAAAAAACTCACTTACTAATAATCTCAAGCAATCGTCTTTTATGTCAAAGATCAAGCATACTACAGAGTTTATTAAGAGTTTCAAGAGATTAGACAACTAATCATATCCTCGCTCTAATACAAGCTTGTTGAACACAACTCTTTTGTGAGAAACATTCACATTCTTTATTCAAACCAATCAAGAACATTCTGTATGAGATTAATATACTTTGCTTTTCTTGGATTAAAAAAGTTAGCGAAGTGGAGGTGAATTTATAGTGAAGCTAGACAATGTGAACCATACATTTGTGATCTTCTATCTTATGGCTTACACATTTGTGATCTCTCTTATTTTTTTACACATATGTGATCTTCTAGATTTAAAATATCTAAATATCTAAACTCTAAAATATATAGATATTTGAATTTTTATTGGTCCATATAATTATTGGACTCAACCCTATTTAAGACGACTTTTAAACTAAATTCAATTAATATTATTTACTTACAAATTACATGAATAATTATAAATAAGAATGAGCTAATATTGAAGAAGCAAAGGTTGTACTTAAAAAAAAAAAAAACAAACAAACAAACAAAGGACATTGAAACAAATATCTTCTATACAATTAAATTAAATTTCATTTAATCATGGGTGCAAAACTAAAGTCACTAGTTTTGTATATTTATACTTAAAAATTGGAAATAGATATGATCTCCTTTGACGGCAAAACCTCTGTCTCACAGTTTTAAAAATCTGTTTGAAAAGTGTTAAGAATGAAAATTAAAAATCTGTTAATTGAGTGTTAAGAATGAGAAATAGAAGTAGGATGAGAAGTTCTATCTTCATTAATGTTTACAACCGATACAAACTATCAACTAGTGCCTAAAATGAAATCTTGTAAGTAAAATAAAATATACTACTAATAAAATCCAAAGTACTCAATAACTAATTATTATAAGTTATTCTCAAAATATTATATCTTGATAAAGAGGTTTCCACACCCTTATAAGAAATGGTTTGTTCTCCTCTCTAACCGATGTGGGACCTCATAATCCATCTTCTTTGGAGGCCAGCGTTCTCACTGGCAAACCATCCAATGTCTGGCTTTGATACCATTTGTAACAGCCTGAACCCACCGCTAGTAGTTGCGGTACCATTTGTAACAGCTCGAGCCCACCGCCAGAAGATATTGTCTGCTTTGGCTTATTACGTATCACCGTCAACCTCACGGTTTTAAAACGCGTTCGCTAGAGAGAGGTTTCCACACCCTTATAAAAAATGTTTCATTCCCCTCTCCAACCGACGTGAGATCTCACAAAAATAGGACAAAATTATTTTCCATGAATCGGAAATGGTTTTTATTAATGTATATTATTGAGCTAAAATCATTGTACTATTATTTGAAAAGTAACCTATCTCTATAAGGAGTAAACTATATATTTAATTTAATATTAAAATGATGTCTCAAATATAAGATTGTAATATACATATTATATTGAAAATAAGTACTTCTCTGATCCCTTAGTCCATCAACTTTGAAAATTGAAAATAATGTCTATAATGACATACCTGTCGGCAAATGAATCCTTGGGAGTTAGTCAACTTGAAAAGATATTAAGACTTCGCATCGAGACCTCTCATTTTATGGCCTTCAAACATTTATATTTACAAAATTAAATTAAATTAAATTAGATTAAAGTTATATCTTTTGCTTCAAATATGTGTTTTTCTTTGCAAACCCCTTCCCTTTGCTTAACCTAACAGCATGCCTTAACTTCCTCATTTTCCTGAGGTCAGCTCCTTTACAGAGACACTGAATTTTCTAAAATCCCAGATTTGCCCCCGTTGACTTTGTGAATTAATGACATTTATTAAAATTATGTGGAAAACAAGTTTTGTGGTGTCCCAAATCAATGAAACTTTTCCTTTTAAATTAAACCTTAGGGCTATTGACCTATAATTCAACCACACTCTTTCTCCTTCCTTTTCCCCATCTTTCTCGCCTTACTCCCACTATAAGCATCAAAGTCTTCCTCCTCTAACTTCCTACCCCTCTCCCTCTCTGAAAATAAGATTCCAAAAACCCGAACCAACCCACGTACTTCCTCTCCAAAACTTCCATTGGCAAAGCCATGGAAGTTCGCAAAATACTACTTGTACTAGCCATAACCATGGCTTTCTCTATCACTCTCACAACGAACATCTTTGATAGGTCAACCACAGTGACAGAGACAAAGATCAAGACAAAAGCAACACTACCCTTAATTGAGAAGAAAGAAGAAGCTGCAACGACGACGACGTTGTTACCATCGAGACCTCTAAGCCGATTCCTAATAGAGAAGGAAAAAAACCCTAGATCGGCGAGCCATTGCAACAAGAACAAGAAGATGTGCGAGACAATGTATGGAAAGGGGTGGCAATGTTGCAACAACAAGTGCGTGGACTTGAGAAATGACAAGCACAATTGCGGCGGATGCAAGAAGAAATGCAAGTACACGGCGGAGTGTTGTGGAGGACAATGCGTTGATGTGGCCTATGACAAGCGCCATTGCGGCAGTTGCAATAACCGTTGCCAACTCGGTAAATTTTGTGTATACGGCATGTGTGAGTATGCATGATAATATTATTACTACAATTACAAACTCTATAATAATCCATTACTTCGATGGTTTATTACATCATCTTTGATTTTATGGCTATTAAAAAGAATTTGAAAAAGCTTCAAATACAATAAAAAAGAGCCACATTTTATGTGGTTCTGGTCAAAACAATCAATTACTACAGCTGAAATTTAAAAATATATTTAAAATAAGATTGTTCTTATAAAGAACTTCATTGAGAATTATATTTTGTGCCAATGCCTTTTTTTCTTTTTGTTTGTAGGGAGGATTTATTTGTAACAACATGGTATATATGCCTCATAGTTCGTAATGTGTATGTATATATATAACTCATTTATATTTTTCTATTTATAATAAATAGAAAAATATTTGCATCATAGCGTATATTTTATACTATGTTGATCCCGATATTCGAATCTCCACGCCACCGTTGCTTGAACTAAAAATGTATTAATTTCTAGAAACTATTTACGTATTAATTTAATAGAGCACATAAATCGAGACATTTAAATTCACAATAATTAGAAAAAGAAAAGGAAGATCTTTGAATGATGGAAACTTTTCATACAAAAATTGTTAGTGATTGTTTGACAATCAATTTTGTCATTTAATTTCTATTTTTGTATTTTTTTTTAAAGTTTTAATATATAAATTAACAAAAAAAAAAAAAAAAAAAATCTAAAATTACTTTTCCTAATATTTAGATTTATGTTGGTGTGAACAAGCATAGCTTTTAAAATTTAGAAGTTAATAAAAATATAATTGAAGGGAGTCTTTAAATTTTCAATGAATGACTAATGATAGAATTTGTCATCAACAAAATGATAAAATAATGTTTTTTTAATTTGAAAATTCATTTTATTACATGGAACTAATGAAAAAGAAAAAGAAAAAAAGATGAAAGTCTCACATCTGCTAATTTAGTACGAGAACTTTTGAGGAGCACAAAGCCAAACCATGAGAGTTTATTCTCAAAGTGGACAATTCATACAATTGTGGAGAGTCGTATTCAACTATTACGGTATGAGACTCATGTCCTAAACTTAGCCATGTCAATAAGTTTCTCAAAGTATTGTAAGCCTCAAAAGACATAGTCAAAAAATGACTGAAGGGTATAATTCCACTAGAGGGTTTGCTTTGCAAGTGAGCGCCGAGACCTAATTTTGTATGGCAAGCCGAAACCAAAGTCCAAATTAAACAACTCTACTAGAAAAAGCTCCAATCATGTTTGCATTAAGAAAAATAAATGTTTATAAACGTACAATATAAGCAATGGAATATTTATTTATTCCCAAGTTCGCCACCTTGAAATATGCATGAAATCACATGCATTTTCCCTCAAAAGAAGCTCCTTCTCACATGTATTTTTGGCTTAATATATGGGGAAGCAAAAAGAAAAAGGTCATTGGTTATAATTTACGTCCCCATGCTTACATATTTTAATACTCATGAATTTATTGGTTGGTTCAACCTTTTAAATGTTAGATCATTTTTTTAATTCAAAAATCTTTTAGAAAACAGCATTTAGTCTTTGGTTGTTAGTTATAGTAGATCGGATGTTTTGAATTTTTTAAGAATGGTGGGAAAATGTTGGGTGCATTTAAAAATGGAAATATAAAGATTTTTTTATATTACAAATTTAGGCCTAGAATCAACAACTTCATGAGCTTTTAAGAATTTTTTGAAGTTTCAACAATGAATGACCGATATCTTGAGTTGAGGTACTACCTCATAAAATTTGATAGCACAATATGACATATATTGGTCTAAACATCATCTGTAAAAGGTTAACTGTCATACCGTTCCACAAGGTCATAAAGTCACTCTAAGTTAGGGAGAGTGACTCAGTGTGCTTGCCACCTACTAAGTTACCTGCTTCATCCATTATCCTCTCTCAGGACACGTTTACAATGTAGAGGTCTTGTTCAGAAGACCCCCGATCATTTCCACCAGATAAAGACACATGGTCTACCTTGATGCGCTACTCTATCCGACCAAGGTCTAGGTCGATGGTGCTGCTTCCAATCTTTTACCGCTTAGTAGGGCGCTAAAAGGTTTGACCTAGGTTGCTGATAGTGCTAATGGCAAATGAGAGGTGATAGAAGGTGGAGGCTCTAGTGACATCATCATTGCTAATAAGTCTGTTAAGTTTTCTTGGTCATCCTTGTATTTCGTTGAGGTTTACTAGGTTCTTAAAGGGTCTAGATAGTTTAAAATTTGAAACTCTCATTCCCAAGATGTTCTAGGCTATCTCCTTGGGCTTAATCTAGTGTCTAAGAGCACTAGTGATAAGCTTAGAAAATGTTGGATTTTGCAAAGCTAGAGGTACTTTTAGTATATTGCAAACTTTTCATAAATAAAATTAATTTAATGGATAATAATTACTGAATTTTACAAGGCTAAAGGTACATCGAGAATCCTTGCAAAATTTCATAAATAAAACAAACTTAACCAAGTGAAGAAATTGACAGAAATGGTGGGTATTTACATCTAGTCTTTCCTTCGTCCAAAATCTTTCTTTTACCTCATAATTTGTGGTATTTACCCTTTCCACAAAATAAACTCTCAATTCGCACACTAAAGAAGTTAGTGGCCATAATTTAATCTATACCCTTTAAATCTCCACAAAAAGAAGTCAATCCTATAAAAAAAAAAAAAAGCTTCCCACCCTTTTGGGGTTACAAGAATTATGAAATTACAAATAATAAATAAAGTTTTCTAATAACTTATCAAGTGCAATTTATAGCATTTTCATAAGCTACTTCAACCGTGCAATTTATAACAACTTCATTCGCTACTTCAACCGAGCAAATATTCACTCTTGAAACTCCAAATGGTTCTTTCTCAATCGAATCAGCTTGTAATACATGAAATAATGATTTAACTGAATCTATCCAATTTTATAAATGAAAAATGAATGCTTGTTAAATCTTCTTAGTCTTGGATCATGTAATAGGTCTAGTAGGAATAGTTGGAACACAATGATCCTCATCAGTAACCACACAGACTTTAGGCAAGTAATCCTTGTAGGGATCACTAGGACGAGTTAGTATGCGAGAATATCTTGCCTTGGGTGTTTCGAATGCTGAATCACCCACTAAAAGGCAGGCTTGCACATTGAGACTGACTACTAAGGCAAGCGATCACCTCTTTCATTAGGGAAGGGAAGAAGGGGCCTAAGCACAGCAGATGTCGTACATACACTTGAGTGGAAAAGGAAAGCCAGATCGTACATTTCTTTCCAAGCCTGTTCAAACAGACGGTTCCCGCAAAGATTAAGTTGGTGAGCCATGTGATGGAAAACCTTCACCACCACATCATTACATGCAAGGGGAGCTCGCTCGATTCACAAACTGGTTTGACTCGTAAGCATGACTATGACTCTATTTCGATACCGATCTTAATTCAAAATGAATGAGGACCAACCAGTGAGTTCTTTGAATATTTAGAGCCTCCAACTAGTGGACAAGCAGTTAGGAACGGATACGCTTCATCTTGATAAGTAACCACACAGACTTTAGGCAAGTAATGCTTGTACGATTCTCTAGAACGAGTTAGGATGCGAGCATATCTTGCCTTAGGTGTTTAGAATATGTATGATATAAAAAATTATGAATATGTCCTTATGATGAGAAACTGAGTTGCATGCCTATTTTTTAATGCTTTCCACTCTATTCAAATGGAGGATGAAATATTTTGATTTATGTAATTTTTGACTCATATTGAGTGACTTGCATATTTAATTTGTACAAAAAAAAAAAAAAAAAGAAAAAAAAAAGAAGAAATATTGATTTCCATAGGTATCGATATGTTCAAGTGGTTAAGGAAACATATTTGAAATTTGTTGGGCTATGAAATTCTTAAGAATACTTTCTAATGTACGAGTTCTCACTAATTCAATCTTTTCTTACGAAATATATTGACTTATTAGGACCTAGATCGAGCATTTTTCATGACTGCACTCATGTGACCTCCTTCCAGAGCTCGTTTTGCATGTGCGGGTGAGTTTTTGACCATTTCGACTATTTTCACCTTTGTTTCGATACCAACCTTAATTCAAATTGAATGAGGATCAACAAGTGAGTTCTTTGAAAATTTAAAACCTCAAACTAGTGGAAAATCAAGCTTGAAACAGATACGCTTCATCTCGATAAGTAATCACATGGATTTTAGGAAAGTAATGCTTGTATGGACCACTAAGACAAGTTAGGATGCGAGCATATCTTGTCTTAGGTATTTAGAATATGCAAGACGATGACGCAGATCGAGCAATTTTGGATGAAAATGATATGTATAATATAAAAAATTATGAATATGCCCTTGTGATGAGAAACTAAGTTGCATGCCTATTTTTTTTTTATGCTTTATGAATGGAGGATGAAATATTTTGATCCATGCTAGGACGCACATAGAGCAATTTGGACTCAGATTGAGTACTTGCCTATTTAATTTGTAAAAAAAAAAAAAATTATCGATTTCCATTAGTGTCGAAGAGTGGTTAAGGAGTCAGACTCGAAATCTGTTAGGCAATGCCTGCAAGAATGCTTTCTATTGTACATGTTCTTACCAATTCAATCTTTTCTTACGAAATATATTGATTTATTAGGACTCAGGAAAATCAATTTTGATGACTGCACTCATGTGACCTCCTTCCTTGAGAATTTAGAACCTCAAACTAGAGGAAAAGCAAGCTTGGAATGAATACGCTTCATCTCGATAAGTAACCACACAGACTTTAGGCAAATAATACTTGTAGGGATCATTAGAACTCAGATCTAGCAATTTTGGATTAAAATGATATGTTGATATAAAAAATTATGAATATGCCCTTATGATAGAGAAACTGAGTTGCATGCCTATTTTTTTATGCTTTCTATTAGAATAGAGGATGAAATATTTTGATCCATGCTAGGACGCACATTGAGCAATTTTGGACTCAGATTGAGTGCATGTCTATTTAATTTGTAAAAAAAAATATTGATTTTCATTAGTGTCCATATGTTGAGTGGTTAAGGAGACAGATTTGAATTAAGAATGCTTTCTAATGTGTTTGGGAATACGCTTTGTAAGTAATGCTTGTAGGGATGGGTTCTCACCAATTCAATCTTTTCTTACGAAATATAACTAGTGGAAAGGCAAGCTTGGAACA